CAGGGAACTTCCAGAAATTCAAGCTGGATTCAGAAGACATTGTAGAACAAGAGTTGTTATTGATGATGCTGACATGAGATCTTGGCTGAAAGCAAAGAATACCAGAAAGATGTTTACCAGTGTTTTTTTGACTATGCAAAGGAATTTGTGTGGATCATAACAAATTATGGACAACATTGCAAACAACGAGAATTTCCGAAAACTAAATTGTGTTCCTGAGGAGCCTATATGTAGAACAGGAGGCTGTTGTTTGAACAGGACAACTGGATACTGCATGGTTTAAAATCAGTAAAGGTGTGTGCCTCAGGGTTGAGTAATTTCCCCATATTTATTCAATCTGTGTGCTGAGCTAATAATCTGAGAAACTGGACTATTTGAAGTATTCATTCCAAGCATCAGGACTGGAGGAAGACTCATTAATACCCTGTGACATGCAGATGACACACCTTTGCTTGCTAAAAGTGAAAATGACCTGAAGCATTTAACTGATGACAATCAAAGACTACACCCTTCTGTATGGATTACACCTCAACATAAAAAGAAAAAAACAATCCTCACAACTGGACCAATAAGCAACAAAACAATAAATGGAGAAGAGATTGAAGTTGCCAGAGATTTCATTTTACTTGGATACACAATCAAAACTCATAGAAGCAGCATACCATATATTGCACTGGGCAGATCTACTATAAAAGATTTCTTTACAGTGTCAAAAATCAAAGATGTCACTTTGAAGCCTAAGGTGCACAAAACGTAAGCCATGATATTTTCAATCACCTGAGATCCACGATAAAGCTGAACAATTAATAAGGAAAACCAAAGAATTGATGCCTTTGAATTATGGGATAATGAAGAATAATGAAAATACCAGAAGAATGGACAAATCTGTCCTTCAGGATGTTCAGCCAGAATGCTCATTGAAAGTGAGAATGCCCAGACTTCATCTTACCTACTTTGGTCATGTTGTCAGAGAGGACCAGTCCCTGAAGAGGGACACCATGATTGTTAAATTAAAGGGACAGCACAAAAAAGAAGACCCTCAACAAGATAGATTAACAGTGTTTGTAACTATGGACTCATTCAGTCATTGCAAAGATTATGAAGATGGCACAGAACCGGGCAGTGTTTTGTTGTGTTATACATAAGGTTGCTGTGTGTCAGAACCAACTTGATTGTACCTAACAAGTACTACTAATACTACTTCATTACAGTGACAACAACAGCAAAAATAAAACAAAACAAAAAATGATATTCCCAAATGGAATTATAACCACAGGTATAGGGGTTAGAATTTATAACACATATTTTTGAGGAACACACTTCAATCCATAAAACCATTTAATTGCACACAAGACATTGTATTATATTTTAGCATCACTCTTTGTAAGAATTGGGTACATAATTGCATTGAAACAACTATTTATTGAGTAGATACATGAATGAATGAATTATAACGGTAAAGGCTTCCTCTCACTTGGACAGTCTTTAAATACATATAACCTTTGTTTATTCCTGTGAATCTATTTTCTAGTCTTCTGATTAGCCAATCCCATTTTATTTTACACATTCTTTGTTTAGGTGATTTTATCATTTTAGTCAGTTCTTGCTTTATCCACATTTTTTTGCAGTTTAACCCTGTTTTTCTTGTGTGTGTGTCATTAGGTCGATTCTGACTCATAGACATCCTTTAAGATAGAGAACTGCTCCATAGGGTTTCCTTGGCTATAATCTTTATGGGAAAAGATCAACAGGTCTTTTCTCTTGTGGAGCAGCTGGTGAGTTCTAATATCAACCTTTCAGTTAACAGCAGAGTATTTAACCATTGCACCACCAGGGCTCCTAGTTCAACATTAGGAAAGTGATTTCATAGGGTCCTCTTAATTTTGTCATATAGCCAGTTGTCTTTTTTATAAATTCTGACTCATGACAACTCCATGTTATGCTCCATAGGTTTTTTTAATGGCTGATTTGTTAGAAGTATACTTATCACCAGGCATTTCTTCTGAGGCACCTCTAGGTAAACTCAAAATGCCAAACTTTCGGTTAGCAGCTGAGCACAATAATTGTTCGCACCACCCAGGGACTCCTAAAAACAGTTGTTGTCTGGTTGATAACTATGTAAATGTGTGTTGTATCCAGATCTGTCTCCTTTATTATTATTATTATTAATGTAGTAGAGAGTAAGTATAGATGGATTTTAGATACTTCCCATATACCTACTGGAAGTCATTCAACCAACCCAGCTCACTGCTATCAAGTTGATTCCGATTCATAGTGACCCCCATTGGGTTTCCAAGGAGTAAATCTTTACAGAAGTAGATTGCCCCATCTTCTTTCCATGGAGCAGCTGGTGCATTTGAAGTGCCAACTTTCTGGTTAGCAATCAACTGCCTTAGGCACTATGCCACTAGAGCTCCTTACTGGAAGTCACTGAAAAACAAAACCTAACTCACAGCCGTCGAGTTGAATCTGGCTCATAGTGACCCCTCCTTGGGTTTCCAAGGCCATATCTGTATGGAAGTAGATTGCCCAGTCTTTCTTCTGAGGAGTGGCTGGTGGGTTTAAACTGCTAGCCTTCTGGTTAGCAGTCAAGGGCCTTAGGCACTACACCACCAGAGCTCCTCTGGAACTCTCTAGACTCTAGGAATTCTGTAATCAAACAGGAATATACCATTATGTTTCACTCTTTTGGCACAGGAGAAACCACTCATCCTCCTGGGCACTAAAAGCATATTGTTCTATATAAGCCTAGAGGACTATGAAGGATGAGCCCTAGAAATGAATATAAGAATGTTTCTTGGAAATATAAACAAAAGGTCATGTAGAGAAAAAAGAAATGCAGTATATCTAAAAAATACAGATAAACCATTCCTGGCAAATTGGCTTGTGAAAATTAGACTTTTCTAATCTAGAAAGTCCAAGAAAGGATTTGAAACCATGTGAGACTTTAACATATGATAATGGTGGAATTTCAAATGATGGTAAAGGATGAATTATTCAGTAAATCTTTTGTGGACAACTGAGTGGCCATCTGGAGTAATAATGTTGAATTCATACCTCAAGTCATATTGCTACAAGAGTCCAGATGGATCAAAGATTTCACATAACAAAATTATAAAACACTAATAGGACATTTGTCCAAAATTGTATGAAAAGTAGATAATCTTTTTCTGAGATTTCCATAAAAGCCAGAACCAACAAAGAAAAGACTAAGAAATCAGTTATGTAAAAACAAATTTAAGACTCTTCTTTGGGAAAACATCATAAAGAAAGTAAAAAGACAAACAACAAATGGAGAAAAATATTTACAATTCATATCTGAGACAATATTTGTAAAGCTTCTAAAATGCAACAACAAAAAATACAAACCCAGTAGGTAAGTGGACAAATAATATGTAATGTGACCAAGCAGTTAACAGGAAAGGGAAATATAAACATCTCTTAAATATATGAAAAATTTGCAGAAATGCACTTCTAATAAGAAAAATGTAAATTAAAACTACAAAGGAAAACTCTTTTAAGCCTATCAATTAACACAGGTTAAATAGTTTAATTACTTTCTTATGGAGAAGGTATGAGGAAATGCTCTATGACATACATTGCTATGGGAATATAAATTATTGCCAACTCCATAGAGAGACATTTGGCAATCTCTCTCAAATGTCAATCTTGTATTACCCTCTGACCAGGTAATTCCACATCTAGCAGGATATTGTACATATATTAAATGTCTGAGGTTATTAATTGCAGAATTGTTTGTATTAGCAAAAGACTGCAGTAGCCCAAATGCTATGAACAGAGTATTGGTTAAAAACATAAGACACTTCAGAACTGTTAGAAAAAGAAAGAAAGAAAAGCTAGCTTAATATGTGCAAAAAGGACAAGGAGGCCACATGTTCTCACCTCCTCTAACCCTACAAGAGCAAGACAGGATTACCAGCAGTAACCCAAGGCCTATTCCTGCCAGGCCAGACATGCTGCCTCCCCCCTCCAGCCCTT